TCTTTACGGTTGGGTTTTTTTGTTCCTTTTTTTTTTTTTTCTAAACATCTCTCGGCCGGCGCAAGGAGGTGAGGAAATTCCACAGCAGACTATTAAAGATGCCAACGTTACACCTCTAGGGACACTTAATCCTACCCCTCCGTGACAAACGGCCGCCGAGGCCGCAGGAGTGGACGAAGTTCGGCGAAACGCTGCCGGCACCGCTCCCGCCCCGCCGCCCACGGCCCCCTGTGCCCCCTCCCCACGCACAGCCCGCCCCACGCAGCCCCTCCCGCTCCCCTCTGCCCCTCGCTGGAAACTTTCTGCCGGCGGCAGCACCGGCACCGAACGGCGGGCGCCGAGGCCCGGAGAGGGACCCCCGAGGCCCTCACCCGCGGCGGGACCGGCATCGCCTCAGCGACTCGCCGGAGTTTCCAGAGCGCGAAGCGGGTCTCGCCGAGGTCGGCAACAAACCCGTGCGCACCCCCTGCACCGAGCCCTTGCCCCCTCGCCTCCCTCCCCTACCCTCCACCCCTCGCCAAGCGGCGGGAGAACAACTTTTGCGGTGGCGCTTGCCCTCTCCCGGGCCGGGCCGGGCCGGGGCGAGGCGCGCAGGGCTGAGGGGAAAAGGCGCGCGGGGCCGTTACCTGATGTCCCCGCTGGGCTGCAGGGCAGGGCAGAGTCCCCACCGTCCCCTTCATGCCCGACCCGCCCTGAGGCACAAGTCTTCATCCAGCTTCCTCCCCCGCAGGCAGCGCCTCCTTCCCTCCTCCCGGCGGGGCGGTAGCCCCGGGCGCTGGGCGAGCGCCGCTCTGGCAGCCTCGCCGGCGCGACGGGGAGGGAAGGAGGAATGCGGGGAGGGAGGAGAAGAGGCCGAGCAGGGGGCGGGAAACGAGCTGTGCCCTCCCTCTCTCTCTCTCTCCTTCCCTTCTCGCCGCGCCGGCACACGGCGGCCGGGGAAAAGTCCGGCTTCGCGGGCTGCCGGTTCCCTCCTCACCGGGCCGCCCACAGCCCGCCGCGGCGCCCCGTGGCAACAGGCGCCCGGTGCGGCCCCACCGCCCCCACCGGCGGTAGCTCCGCGGCTCTGACAGGGCCGCCCTCTTCGCCGCGCCGCAGCCCGGTGTCCCCCGCCTCTTTCGTGGGCGGCGGGTCCCCCGGGCCCGGCGCCGCCGGCGGAGAGGGCAGGGCAGGGCAGGGCAGGGAGCGGCCGGCGCCTCTGGAGGGCGCCCCCGCCCCGCTTGGCACTCGGGAGAGCGCGGCTGCGCGGGGCCATGGTGCGGGCAGGCCTGGGCTGGGCCTGTGCTGGGGAGTGAAGCTGAATTAGAGATGGGTTAGAGTTGGAAGCGACCTTAAAGATCATCGAGTTCCAGCCCGGCTGGTTGTTGGAAGGGTAACGCTTCCTACTAGACCAGGTTGCTCGAAGCCCCGTCCAGCCTGGCCTTGAAAACCTCCAGGAATGGGGCATCCACAACTTCCATGAGGAACCTGTTCACTGTCTCACCACCCTCACACAGTAAAGAATTCCTTCCTAATATCTAATCGAAATCTCCCCTCTTTCAGTTTAAAACCATTGCCCCTCATCCTATCACTACACTCCCTGATAAAGAGTCCATCCCCATCTCTCCCCTAGGCCCCTTGATCATCGAGTCCAACTGCCTGGCTGACTCAGTTACCAACTTTAACCAAAATTTAAAGCATGTTATTAAGGGCAATACCCAAATGCCTTTTAAACAGTGACAGGCTTGGGGCATCGACTACCTCTCTACGAAGCCTGTTCCAGTGTTTAACCACCTTATTGGTGAAGAACTGCTTCCTGATGTCCAGTCTGAAGCTCCTGTGGTGCAGCTTTGAAGCATTCCCAGGCATCCTGTCACTGGATACGAGGGAGAAGAGATCAGCGTACGAGGGAGAACAGGTCAGCAATTAAGTTCTTTAAGTACTGGAAGGCTGCTATACGGTCTCTCTGGAGCCTTGTCCAGGCTGAGCAACCCCAACTCTCTCAGCCTGTCCTCATGGGAGAGGTGCTCCAGCCCTCCTCTGGACCCGCTGCAACAGGTCCATGTTCTTATGTTGGAAGCCCCAGAGCTGGACACAGTACTCCAGGTGGTGTTGTGGCACGGCAGGGCACGTTCAGGGGCAGCCTGGGAGGTATGAGCTTGGGAGTGCTTTTCCTGGAAGGCTTTGGGATGTGTGGTTGGAGCCGGGGCTGGAAAGAGGTTGTGGAGGACACAAAAGAAACTGGGGGCATATGTTGGAGGAGGTTGGGAGAATATGGGAGTTGAGACTTCACTGGTTTGAGAGAAGAAACTGGGATCTGGGAGGTAAAGAGGGAAATTGCTCATGGCAAAGAAGAAGAGTGGATTGGGAAGATAAATGATAAATGTATTTCTTCTGACGAATTATACAAAAAGGGTGTTCAGAAAGGCAGAGAGGAGTGAGTAGCAGTGGGATAACTGAAGAGGAGAAAGGAGCGGAAAAAGGTTGTTGGGCAACAAAGGAGAAAATATATCATGTAAGTGGACAAGAGCATGGTTTAGAAGGTGAAGAGAATGGTATGATCAAGGGCTTGGAGAGGAATGTTACGGGGCTTAGGAGGAAATGCATGTGAAACTGAGATGATAGGTATGGAGGAGAAGTCTAGCTACCTTGTCATGTAGGTTAGAAAATGAGCCATTGAGGAATGGATTTTAATTTCAAAGGGATTTTAATTAGAGGAAATATGCATGAGTGAAAGCATTGGAAATGTAGGAAATTAGGGAAGCACTGCAGGAATTGTTGGACAAGAGGGGACTTAGAGATCAAAAGAACAAGCCACAGCTTGAAAGAGCTAGCAAATCTGAGCAGAGCACGCAGAAGTATTTGGTTGTAAGGAGTGGGAATATTGGTTGTATACGTAATAGAAATTAATAAACTTTTTCTGTAAGAATTGTGCAGTGTATCTTGCTGTTTTCTGGCGAATCCTCCCATCCCACATTGGTAGTGGAGAGTTGGATTCCAGCTCTCCAAACTGAACTCACCTTTACAACCAGTGTAGTAAAGTGGATCTTAAACACTCAGGAATAGCAGTAAAAGCAGTATTGCTTACAGAACAGTTGTCATCCTAGGCCTTGGAGAACTGAATTGAGTTTTAACTTACAGCCACCCCAACTTGAAGCACTTATGTCCATGTAGATTCATTGTTTTTAATGTTTGCTGATGGGAAAGGAAGTTCATGCTGATGGCAGTTCATGAATGGCTACTGTCCCTCAAGAGGAAAATGACAGAGATATGAGATGGAATACACACTGGCATACATGAAACTGGATCAGAAATTACTGGGTTTACACTGAAGTATTTAGTCCAGAAATGAGAGGAGGAAATGCTGAACATCTAATTCATCTCTTCATCCAGATTATCTTTTATGTGTGAAATAACCCCTTCCTCCACTGACTTCCTGCAACTTTTTGGCATGACCCGCAACACTTTAAAGTGTTCCTCTTTTTCAGTCAGAATAAGAGTCTTATTCCAGTCTCTTCTAACCTCTTGTATCTCAGCTTTTCTGGGACAGCAGTAGTGAACTGTAGTGAACTTGTGTCTGGCACAGGACTTGTGTTGTATGAGTGATTTTTAATAATCAAAATATTATAAGCACAGACTAGCCAGGGCACAGCTTGGAAAATTAAAAAAAAAAAAAAAAAAAAAAAAAAGGAAAAGTAGCTTGCTTTAGTGTAGGACTATGTAATCCATATCTTTCCCTTTGGTTTTCTCTCTTCATTATTCTTCTTGCCCTCTATTGTGCAGAATCATCATTCTTCTTATGGCTCATCAATCCTATTGCTGTATCAATGTCTATAAATAATTTTAAATATTTTGAATGTGTAGATATTTTTACAAAATTTGTTACCAGAGATCTAGAGGATTAGTAGCCATCCCTTGCATAAAAATGGTGTGCCAGTCTGGGCTTCCAGGTGCTGTTGTAGTACTGGTGAAAATAATAATGGCTAATAATAAATGTTTAGCTGGTTGTTCATAGGAGTTGGAAGGCGCCTGGGAGTTACCTGTGGAGCTGCTGCTCAGGACTGGTGAAAATTCCATACATATGAAAGAAGGAGACATCAGCATTTTCAGGTTATTTCTGAGATTCGTTGTCCCTGGTTTTTTGGTCGTCATTATGAAACAACCATGATCTGTAGCAAATTGTGAAGTCTTTTGTGAAAGGTCCTGCTCAGAGATGCTGTTTGCTACCAGTTTTGTATTGCATGTAGCAAATCTCTTCTGCTCCTTTGAACTGCTGTGTGTCTGAATTTGAGATAATGTACTGCAAATTATTTTCCTGGATATGCTGGTGAATTCAATCAAAATCAGTGGAAAAATCAGTTATTTTCTTAAGGAAAAAAATATTAAGAAAATAACTGATTTATATAATTTAAAAAGTTGCCAGGGATCAAATTAAATCTTTCTTGCAGAAAAAAATATACAGAACTAAAATGACATGCTGGTAAGTGAAACTAGTTTAAGAACATTCAACTTGCTAGAACATTGTATGTTTTGCATATGTGTATTTACTGTATATTTTCATGTAAATACACCTTCATAAACTGTAGATAAGGTGTAAATACACCTTCATAAACCTTCATATACAAGCATATTTTTCTGTAAGAAGCAAGTAATACTTCATTTGTTCTAGCTTGTTTGAGAAATTATGTACCTGCTAACATACCATAATTTACATGGATTTGTGGAGCAAAAATATGATTTTAAAAAATAATTGGTGCAAGTAAAATGTTCACAATATGTTTTAATCACTGGGACAGCAGTGGAATTTGTTATGTTGATCACCTAGACTTAAAGGTTGTAATAACTTGCGCATAAGAATCTGTTCCACAGAAAGTAAAATATCATATTATTGATAGCAACTGTAAAATCCTTGAAGAAAACTCATTTATTTTGAGTGACTGTGTATGCACTTGTTTTCAGAGACAGACTGCTTGTACAATGGAATAAGCAATGAGTGAGATATGAATGTAGAGATACTTGGTTTTGCAATGAACTAGCTAACATGTTGATCGGTTAGGGTTTGTGGCTTCTATACCAGCAGGGAAACAGTTGAGTTCACCTTCTCCTTCCTCACCCGTCCCCATCCCCCATCCATTCATACTCAGCTGTAACAGAAGCTAAATTACATTCCCAATAAAGAAACTCAAGGTTGGAGTTGGGAGTAGCTGATACTGACAGCATGGATCCACCTGTACTCAGCTGGCTCGTGGCAGCTTATTCATCCTTCTCCAAAGATACAGTCTTTGGGTTATTGCGTGACTTTCACTGTGCCATCATGCGCTGTGCTGCCGCTACGCTGCCAACATAGCCCTGCCCTGCGTGCCCAACTTCAAAAGTGTGTGTACTGGAGTGTGAAATAGCCATGTTGTTTCTGGGAAATCTGGAGATCTCTGGAGAAATTTCTCCAGGAGAGAGCTCCCCTCTTGAAATTAAAGGATAGGATGACAAGGTGTTTCTTCACATTCAGACCCAGTATCTATGAATGGGACCCAGCCTAGGTATGAGCTCCAGAGAACTGAAGCCCTTCAGGGACCTTTAGAAATACACTGACTGCTGTTATAACCCAGTAGCGATGAATATATTACTGTGGAGGCTACCTTTCTCCACTGGTACCAAGAAGGCATAAAGATGGGTAGGCTTTGGTTTCTGGATCTGTCAGAGGATGTAGGAGCTGTGGTGAAATGTGTCTCAACAGCTTGATTGGTTGCTTGAACATTTTTGATTAATCACCATTTGGAAACTTGGAGTATACACAACCCCTATTTATGTGTAGGACCTTCAGTGCCTGTCCCCTGCTTCCGCTGTTGTACTTAGATTATAAGTTCTTAAGACTACCCTTTTGCTCTTTATATAGCATCTGGCACAAAGGGGTTCTGGTTTCTGTCTAGGAGTCACAGTAATTACGGTAATAAAATGATAATAACAATATTAGTGACAATGATACTAGAAAATAATATGGAAAGCCAGAAGATATACAGCTTCTATCATTCAAAGTTCTGTGACAAACTTGTTGCACACACATTTGTATACCATGATCTCTTTTAATAATTAA